AGCAGTAAAGCCGCTCGTTCCACTCTTCGGTGGATGGCAAAAGAGCCTGCCAAAGCTCGTGCCTCTCATCTGCCAATGCATCCAGCAATACCACCACTGCCTTGACTGCTGGCGACTTCGAAGGCCGCCCCAGCTCCAGAGCTGTGCAGGTTGGTTCTGCGTCTTGCAACATATGCCCTGTTTCTGTCGCAGATTTGAAGAAAGCTCCAAGAATTCGCAAAGATGGCTTCATGGCCAGAAGAACAGCCATCAGCTTGTCTCCAACATGTGGTGTTGTGACGAAAGCATGGAACCGGCGAACGCGGAGATACTCTTGCTGCGCGAATTCCTCTGACTGTCCTAATCCCAAAGTGATGTCATCATCCGCCTCTGGAAGAAGGCTTTGAGTCAGCTTGGAACTTGCGGCTGCTTGAAGCGAAGAAAGGACAGGCTCCAACATCTGTGGCAGCAGGTTGTGAACACGGAACAGTGGGCAGAACCACTCGCAAACTGGACTGATTTTCGTCCACTTGTTGAAAGCGCGTGGGTGGCGGCGAATCGAGGAAGAGGGTGCACAGGTCGTCATAGAGATCATCCACAACAGCTTTTCGGCTAGTGTGGCAGCCCAACGGACAAAAGTGAGTCACAGTGTTGCTGTTCAGTGGGCCTTTCAAATTTCGACGGAGGCGGCGCCAAGCCTTGGCTTTTTTTCCGCCCACACGGCGCTCTCCTGCTTGCTCTTTTTCATTGGTAGTAACGAGGGGCCAAAACAAGTCCCAAACAGCTTGCGCGTGGCTGACAGCCGAATGGTCTGGACTCTCATAGCAAATGACGAGCTTCTCGGGATCCTCCAGGATTGCACGCAGCCTTGCTCGCAAGAGGCGCACGACAAAGAAAGCTGATGCATTCTGCAGGGGCATGAAAGGCAGCGGACCTGCGTGGACAGCAGCTTGCGCAGACGCATGCAGCTGCTGAAGCTATCAGTGTTCAGCAGAAAGATGGTCTTTTCGGCAAGAGCTTCCAGCTCTTTCAACGTGAGCGGAAGCCTGCCCATCAACGCTGTATGCAGGTCTGCAGTTGAAGTAGTCTTTAGCAAAGCTGTGGGCAAAACGACATTTAGTCGTTCCAACTGTCTGCCGCTGGCTGACAGCCGAACGACCTTCATGTGAATCACTAAAACACTGCTCAACTCAGCTCTAGCATTCACCGTAACAGGTTCGGTTGTTTCATCCAACGCTATGTGCACCCACTGTTCGGCTGCTCGCGTCAAATTTGAGAGTCCATCTTCTTGGATGCGCATGTACAGCTCGCTCGTGCAAGCTCTCACGTTGGTGATATGCGTTGTGCTGCTGTGCCATTGTCGAGCGCATGCACGAACACTGGACACAGTTGGCGCTGCGACCTTGACCTGACAACGCGTTTTCTTTGTAAGACGCGTGAGCTTGGGTTTGGCACACTTTCGCCGACGCGGTCTGGAACCCCAGCAAGCCTGCAGCAAAGCAGTAGGAACCCACCGCTTGTAGTTGCCCTTGCCTTTGATTTTCTTCTCCTTTTTTGCATTCAGGTCAATCACATCCTCTTGCGTTTTCGCAAAGACCGCATTGTGACGATTGACCAACCACGCAATTCTTTCAGTTACCTTCAGCCTCTGTCTTGCAGCTGAAACGCGCTGACGCCCGCAGCGCGCGATTTTTGCAGACACTGCTCCCCGATGCGCTGGCTTTTCACAACGCCTGACGCACTGCAAGATGCGATTCACTGCAGCAATGTCTTCGTCGCTATCTTCTGCCATCAGGTGCTGGCTGACAGCCGGAACCTCGCCGTGCACAGGGCTGACAGCCGGCACGGCGAGCTGCCTTCATGCAGTGAAAAGGATCGCATCTGCGGCTGCCTGACACTGCCGCGGGCGACGAGTCAGCCCATGAAACACCATGACATTGACGTAAGATGTAAGGCCTACATCCGGAACTTTGGCCCGGTCTTGTGTCGTAAGTCTTAAAGTCTACAGTCTTAGGTCTGAATTGTCTAAGACGACAAATGCACAACTGAGAAATGTATACTGCTACTGCAGCTACTGGCCAGTACAACAACTACTACTAGTACTAAACTACTAGTACTACTACTACTACTACTACTACTACTACTACTACTGCGAAGGCGCCGGCGACGACAGCAATAACATCAGTGAATGCTGTCAGCTCAAGCCTGTTTGGCGAGTTATTTTAATCTAGTTAATTTAGTTAAATTTTGTTAATATCAAATTAAGAAAATAACTGAACTATTTATTAATAAATATAATTATTAATGATTATTAATGATTATTGATTATTAATTTAATGCATGATTGAACAGTTATTTGAATTACAGTTTATTAATTAGTTATAAATAGTTACGAGTTTAATACATTTCATTAATTAATTACTAATTAGTTAGTTAAAAAATTAAAATTATTGAAAATTATTAACTAATTAATCAAATCATTTATAATTAATTAAATTAATTAAGTAATTACTATATAATGATATTTTATATGTATAGTATAAATAGTACAAATTAACAATAGTTAACTGAATATAATTAACTGTAATTAACTTAAATATCAGGCATTTCTGACATATGACATTACTGAACTGCCACACAATTGTGGGGTTTCCAGAGTAGGTGCGTTTGAAGCTTCTTGAATTCGCCCAAGCCTAAACCATACATCCTAAATGCACTTCCTGTACATCATCTTTACCAATTGTACGTTTCTATGCTACCCGCAACTGACTTACGAACTACATGTAAAGCACATGCATATATACACATGTTGCATCTACATATGCAATACATGTTCTTTACAGTGTTCCCAGCCGGGGCCGCAGTGGCATCTGTTACTGCATGTCTCTGTCTTCAACGACCCAGTCAGCAGTGGCCACTCAATGAGTTGCCACACTCGGCACGATTCCCCGTTTGGGAGGCGTTTGTCAGGAGATCTCTTTGTACGTACATCCTCGCCCTCATTTTGCCACCGGGATCCCTGCTCCGACAGGCACCTTCCAGGATTTTATGATGCTCATCGGCTTGAAAAAAAATCCTACCCTGAGCTTCTACCGCTCCTCCCGATTCTTACGGCTGGCGACACATTGGAGGAGGCGTTTATGTAGATATGATCGCTGCTCCCATGCAGCACACACAGCATCCCGCTCAGGCTCCGTGCGTACGGATACTCAAATTCATAGTAAACTCACAGCCGTGCCACACTTTTCTGCCCCTCGTTGCTCGCTGGCGTGTTCTTGACATCCGGTTTCGGAACTTCGGCGAGACTCGAAATCGTGCTCCGGCATCGTTCTACCACCACCAATTCCGCGCAGCTCGACATCATGATCCCGTCACAGTGTGCCACATTTTGAGTGCGACTGGTGTTGCCGATCGTGCTCCGGCCAGAGTGCGATGCAGCTTTTCGACTCTTGGGAGGGTGAGCCTGGAATAGGGCTTGGACTCCTACAGGTGCTGTTCCACGGTTTGATGTCATTTTCAAGAAAACTTACCCGCCCTCAGCTTCGCGAGGAGGCGTTCGTGCACAGCTTCGTATGAGTTTTACTGGATTGATCATGATTTATTATCAGATTCAAAGGTGCGTTCTCCGCTCTGGGTTTCCCTAGTGTTCCCTGCCCAGAGGTTCCCCTGGCTTGTGGCTTGGTTGACACAGGTTGCCTCGAGAAGCCCTGCTGTGGCCGTTGTCAATGTTTGGTGGTCGAACGCGGCCGCCAAGCAACATCCTGCAGCCGGCTTTCGGTTCAAGAAAAATTTGTTCGATGGTTTAGCTCACAGCCTGCCTCAAAAACAAGGTTGTGCCCGTCTGTCAGCTGAAGAGCTTCTGTTTGGGATGGGGGTTTGTAGGGCTTCGGGTTTGTTATATAGGATTCATGGCTTAGGGCTTGGTGGTCTCAGATTAGATTTTTGTGCTGCTTATCACGTTCATGTTCAACGCAGTCGGTTTCCCGCATGTCATGCAATTCCCTGCGCCGGTGACACGCGCAACGGACTGGTTTCTGGGATTCTCATCGGCTCTAGCAGCTGCTAGAACTTTGAGAAATGGGGTCGCGGCACTGGTGATACAGTGAGTGCAAATCGCAACACCTACGTCCCTACATGTCGCATTTTAGATGTATAGCTGGGTTTGACATTACGTGCATTGCCCTGGCTGTACATGTTTATTCCGTGCCGGTTACTTCTGTGTAGGCTCATAGCCTTGATGTGACATAAAGCAGGTGCAAATACATGCTTAACGTATGTACATACATATGTACGCGCCCTGTTTTCAGCATTGGTTTCCTAGTTCTGTATACTCATGCATATGCATGTGCAAACACACGAGACCATCGTGTGTTTTGTGTGTGTGTGTGTGTGTGCGTGTGTGTGCGTGTGTGTGTGTGTGTGTGTGTGCATCTGTGTGTGTGTGTGTGCACGCTTAATGTGGCTGCAAAACATGCATATCTCCAACACTACGCAACACAACATAAGGTACATCAATGTGCACACACATATTTTCTACAACGTCTATATACCTACATGCCTACATCTGTACAAATACTCAGAAGTACGCACAGAGAGAGAGAGAGAGAGACAGGAGATATATATATATATACGCACATAATACACACATACATACATACATACATACATACATACATACATACATACAGACATACAGACATACAGACATACAGACATACAGACATACAGACATACAGACATACAGACGTACAGACATACCGACATACCGACATACCGACATACAGACATACAGACATACAGACATACAGACATACAGACAACAGACATACAGACAACAGACATACAGACATACAGACAGACAGACAGACAGACAGACAGACAGACAGACAGACAGACAGACAGACAAACAGACAGACAGACAGACAGACATTCCTCAATTCATTCGTTCATACATACATACATACATACATACATACATACATACATACATACATATACATGCAGAAGTGGCCACAGTAGGCCTCGGCTTCGGTGCCCAGCTCGGCTTGAACCGCCACATCCAGTGCACCGCACACCTGCGGAGCGCAAGGCGACGATGTGACAGCGAAGCTGAAGCTGTTCGGTTCTTGACTGGATTCACACACCCAGGACCCAAAGTCCAGCAAGTGAACAAGCGAAGATGAAAAACTCATGAATGAAACCCCACACCCTCCTCTGCTTCGGGGCTCTGCCGCGCCAGCACCCGTTGGACGATAGAGCGGACGAGCGCCGAAGCCGTCCTGGCACATTCGGCATTCGACAGAGCTGCCAAGAGCGGCAGTTTTTGGCAACATGGGCTAGAAGTGAATAATGTTGACCTTCGCGGATGATCGGAAACATGCAGCGAGCCTTCGGTTGCTGATGAAGGCCAGCTGTTCCTGCCAACTGTCATGCTCAATCTGCAAACACCCAGCTCCGCAGCTTCCTCCATAACTGAGGCCCTGCGGCAACATCATGTCTTGCACCGCCCATTGCCCAAAGACTGCTCACTCTTGACGCTCAAACTCATGGCTGCAAAAAGGGGAGCAGAGTAAATTATTGCCTGGTGGTATGCTCTCTGCCCCAGCACCGTCCTCGTGGAGATCTGCTTGGCGGCTGAGATATTTGACCTGCTCGCTCATCTCGTGAAGGCCTCAGCACGCACAGGCCGGCCCCCATTGCTATGCTTTTGTTGAATGTCGCCTATCCCACATGCCAGACTTCTTGCTATTCCTGTTGTTACCACAGTACTCGTACTACTCATTCTCAGTAGTGCTGGAAGTCTTTTGTCGTCCAATTCTGAAGTTTCGGCACAGGTCGGCTGGGACCTGTCAGAGCTCCCAAGGCTCGGGCCCAGCCGGCAGGTTGCAGCCTCGGATCCCCGGAGCAGCTGTGCCAGTCGCGCAGATTTCGCCTCAAGAGCCAGGGCCAGGCCGGCTAGCGGGGCAGATTTGGGGGTTTCCGACAATAGGGGACCCAAATCATAGGATCCTTATTATATGGACCCCAAAATAAGGTACCCCGTATTTTCGGAAACTCCCATTTCGTGGTTGAAGGCGCCTTCTCGGCCTCGAGTTCAGCCTCCAGGCGCCGCGCGGCCTTCGCCCGCAGCTCCAGCGAGTCGCGCTCGCGCTCCAGCTCTTGGCAGCGGCGTCGCAGCCCGGAATCTGAAGGCTCCAGGGCGCCACCCTCGGAGCGGCGAGCACTCCGCACGTGCTGAAGCTGCTCCTCGGCACCGGCTCGCAGGCGTTGTTGAAGCTGCTGCTGCTTCAGGGCATCCGCCTCCCGCTGCTGCAGCCACCATGCGCTCTTCGTGACTTTCATCTCCAGGGCCTCTGTCTCGGGCCGGTTTTCCTTGTCCGAAGCAAAGAGCCCAGGGCCCAGTCGTGACGGCCAGCTGGGACGCTTAGACGCCCTGTCCGGAAGGTTCTCGGTCAGAACACTCTGCTTCATCGCCTGGTCCAGCGACTTGTGGCACTCGAGTACGGAGGTGGAGAACATGGCACCGCGCCAAATCACAGGAGAATCACAGGCTTTGGAGGTCACGCAGGCTCAGCCAGCTGCAAAGCCTCGACAGCCCTAAGAGCTCTTCTACGCAGACGCCAACGCTTGAACCGGTTCCGCATCGCACAACTTGGGGTGCCGAATGCAACTCACAGCATCGCTTGACAAGGTTTTACAGCTTTGTCTTCACGGACATGACACCAGTAGCTACAAAAACCTCTGAACATCGAAACAGCAAACATCAGTCCGTGCAAGCATGTGCAAGGCGTGGCCTCAAATCTGTTCGCCATTCTTTCACGAATGTTGTAGTTCCTTGACAGCGCGTTGCAGCGACGTCCAACTGGCTGCCCCGATGTCACTTCTCCCAGCGGCGTGCATTCCACCAACTTGGGCTTCTCGTGTAACCCGGATAAATGCAACCAAGGTGCTCATTCCGATTCATCGAATCAGCAGACCTTTCCATCGACCCTGGGAGTCTGACAGTTTTAAGCTACGACACCACACCGCGAAATCACGGAGACAGGAACCCTGAAAGTAGACGCTGAGACGCCTCACAAACTACTAGCTCGACCATAAGGCCTCTCAACATCTGCACCAAGTTCTTCCCGAGAGCAGATGTCAAGATCGGAAGCGCTAAAACTGATTGGAAGACACTTAGGCGCAAATAGCACCTGGCAGTCGCGCAGCGCGGCCATGAGCGAAGCGCCTGATTCAGGACGCCGGAACTCAGAGGCTTTCCGTCATGCTGACCATGATGCTCGAAATCGTCAGGATACCAATCAGAAGTACAACTACGACGATGACAAGCACAACGAAGACGCAAGGAGAATGCGCAAAGCAACGACAAACGAAAGAAAGCAGCAAGAACGCCGATGATGACGAGCACGACCGCAACAACGACGACCACATCCGCGACCAGGACCACGACTACGAGGACGAGCAGGACCAGGGACAGGACCTCCACCATGAGCAGGAGCGTGGATCGTCACAGTCATCCTTCTGGAACCAGCAGCAGCAGGAAGAGGAAGAGCTGCAGGAGAAGCACAAATAGTAGCAGCACCAGACCCGCTAATCAGCAGCAAAGCATTCTTGCGAACCTAAACCCCAGTGAGATCCCGGCTGGCAAAGGGAAAGGTCCCCAAGGAGCGGCCGAACCCCGGCAAGCTTGAGCCATCACACCCACAGTGCAAACACAGGCTGGTGACTAGCACAAGCGGACTCGGCCGAAGAGAGAGAAAGAGAGGGAGAGGGCGAGATGGACACAAAGATTGCTAATTCATCCAGAAGCCTGCACGGAGCGCTTGAATATGTTAAAGCCAGGTTTCGGTTTGAAGGATGCACCACGGCTGTGGAATAAGGCTTCAAGGAGGGTGCTTGTTGAGATGGGATTGGTCGCCATTAAGGTAGACGAGCACTTGTATGTGAAGCGTGATTCACAATCCGTCCTTATGTCGATCTCGTGTGTTCATGCTGATGACTTGAAGTTGGCCGGAGTAGATGCTGACGTCGAATCAAAAGAACCTTGAAAACCTTGGAGCATCACTTCGAGCGACTGAAGTTGGATCGCGACAACTTTGAACATCTTGGACTTAAGCACACCTAGTCTGCTGATGGAATCAGGTGGGTGTCTCAAGCAAACTATGTGTCGGAGCCCGATACCCGATAGAGATCCCAAGCTGCCGGATCAGTCGAGATGCCTTGCGAACGCTAGCACAGACTGGCGAATGACATGTTTCACATCAACCAAAGATCCATGTACGCTGCATCATTAGTCGACCTTGTCGATCCTGAGTTGTGTGTCGGATTTAGGGTTTGGGGTTAAAGCGGTTTCAATGTGGAAAAGTGTATACATACATACATTCATTCATACATTCATTCATACATTCATTCATACGTACATACATACGGTTACATACGTACATTTGTAAATGCATACAGACATACTACATATCCACATACCTACATATATACATACATACATGCAGACTTCTACACATATCTACATAGTTCTACATACCTACGTACACACCGACCTGCATACCAACATGCCAACAGACCAACCGACAGACCTACGAACCTACATACTTACATATCTGCATACTCGTTTTCCGCCCGACACTCAGCCGCTGCAGACAGGCAGCCTAGCAAGGGATGAACAGTCCAAAACTGCAGTCAACTCCACTCCGAAGGGCCTCCGTGGAATCCATGCTTACACTTTAAGTCCTGTCTTGATTCCCAGTGATTCCTAGCAGGGAACGTCTCCTCGAGGCTCTGTGAGCGCCGACTGCTTCGCAATGGAGCTGGTACATGCTAGGTAAACTTTTCGCCTTGGAGCAAGAGCACAGCCCCAAAAGGCTTCCAAGGCATTGACATCTTGAATCTTGAGCTAAAGCTTGCGCACCGCCCTTAGGCAGGTGGCTCTAGGGCCCTAGGAAGAGCATGCTCCAAGCAAGATCTCTTGGAGATCCAAGCTCTCTGCTATGCTCTCTTGTTCAAACAAAGATATAAGCTCTAAACTCTAAAGATTGGTTTTGCCAAAGCTGGCAACCGGATTCAGCGTTTGCTTCTGCCGCCTCCTGTTCCCCATCACCCCGTTCCGGGGCTTTGGAAGGGTAGCTTTGGGGCTTTGTTTAAGGTCTAGCACACCCGGGTCCTCGGTGTCAAACCGAATGGGCTTCCTGGCAGCACATCCGTGGCCTCTTCAACGGGATCCAAGGGTCCCTCTTCTGGCCAAGGCTCCGTGGAAGCCATGGAAGGGCTCGGCCGTCTCGCGCTCAAAATACCTAGGCCACAACTCGCAGGCGCGGAGTCAGACGGGGCGCATTCTTGGGACGTGGAAGGCTCGGGGCTCGAGCAGGGGGGAATCTGAGCCGTCTCGTGCCTCAGCCTCAGTGGATCGAAGCTTCCAGCCGGGTGGCGGCCAACCGTTGCGCTCCGTCTTCGTGAAGTCGGGGCCCGGCTGGTAGCCCTACATGCTGCACGAATGCAAGTTCTGGGCTCTTGTCAGAAAGCAAGCGAATTGCATGCGCCTGTGGACCTCGAGGGGCTGTCGAGGTGGCCTCAAGAAAAGATACACCTTTCTCGGCATCGTGTTAGTGCTGGGTTGCAGTTGCAGACAAGTCTTGCGAGCTTTGCGAGCCAGAAGACTTTCGGAAGTTGAATCCCGTGAAACGCTTGGGATGCGGCGGGGCCAAATCCACTCGTGGAAGCGTCCAGGGCCTCGGGGCCCCGCACTGACAAGCAAACGAAGCAGACCGTTCTCAAGTTCCTACGTCTACAACAGAAGTTTGAATGCCGGGTACTGGTAGCTTGGATACCTGCAGCCTTCGGATTCGTGTCAGGCTGGTTCAGAACGATGTTCTGTGTTCTCTACGTATGTCTAGCTTTGAGAAACATGGCGCTGCACTTCATGGGCACGTGAACGGAAGCTCGTGATCGAGGGTTATGCAGCAGCATCAGTGGTCGCAGAAAGGCAGCGTGAACGGTCGCAGTAGCAGTGGGGGATAGGGTGTCTGCTGTCATCTGAAGCCTAGGCTCATCATCTCATTGGGCGGCTGAGGTCTACAACACGGTCAATGACCCTCGCCTTCTACACTTGCTTCGCTCTATTTCACTTCCGAGGGTGTAGGCCAGGCTGCGGAAGGGACTTTGAGCCTCTGTGAGCTGTAGGTTTTGGATTAACGTTAGGGCTTAGGGATATGACTGCTTTAGAATCGGAGGCCTCAAAAGGAGGGATGAAGGTTGGCAGGATTCAGGATCCCTTATAGAAGGACTCCTATTCGGGAATATCCCACCCACCTTCATCCCACCTTTTGAGGCCTCCCATAGAGTCTAGTCTAGCTCAAACTCCCCTTTGCTGGGCCCGACGTCCCCCACCCGAATGCACTCTGTTTCTGCAGACTTGCGGCTGCGTTGACGATGGCATTCACCTTCCTTGTGTTTGGCACCTGTGCAAGCGGCCGGAGAGACTGTGATCAGCCGGCACAAACGGTTTAGGGTTTAGGGGTCTTCATCGCAAGCACCTTGTCACCTCCCACTCGAGCAAACTCAGAACGGGGAAGCTCCAGGTCCTGCACAACACCGATCTTTGTCATGGCAGACCAACTGACAAAAACGGTGCTGCCCGGCTCTCCCAAGACGTGCAGCCGAGGTTCAGGTGGACACGAGGGTGGGCTCCAGCTGGAGTAGAAAGGCAGGCATGCCACCTCAGGCAACAGCAGATCTCCTCCAGACTCCAAGAGCTCCGAAGCCAAGACACGTGGCTGCGGTGCATCCGGGCACCGGCAATCCCCGAAGAGTTGTAGATGGGCATGGCGCTATCGTGCACGAAAGAAGCAAGGGGGGGACGGAGTTCTCATGTCAGATGCAGTACGGTACATTATCCCTTCCTGGCGAAGGCTCAAATGCTCAACTTCAAATTTATCTGCTCATGATACAACACAAGACTTGTATTCACCATTCGTCATGGTGCCACAACCTGCATCCAGCAGCGATCGACTCCGCATGGGCGAGAGAGGTACCCAACCACCTTACTTCATTCATCATCGCACGGCAAGGCAAGTCCACAAATAAAACGGTCACGATCCCCAGGGCATTCAGGCTCTCTAAGACGACACATGCGAATCGATTCCTCAAACACTATCAGAATCTATCAAATGCAGCTGCACGTTCGGGTCAGCTCCCAAATGTGGAAATGTAGCAGCGGCCTATGCTTCGCGTATGACAAGAGCCGACACAACGCTGCTTTTCCCATCGGCTTCCCGGCGCGCTTCAAAGCACAATCTCATCCCGCTGCTGCACCTGAAATGTCACCGTCAGGCATCTTTGGCATCCCTGCTGACAGGTCTGTGCACACCCTAATGCTTGTCACAGTCTGTGGAGTCAGTCGATCCTCTTGCAAAATGGCTTTCGCACAAAGTCTTTTGACATTTTTCTGGCGGCATGCATTCAGCTGAGCTCGGCACCCAATCCTGTGGCAGGCGGCGGGCCATTCGGCAGTACGGCGTGGAGGCAGCCGAACCCTAGCACAAAGCACTTGTTTGCACGAGTTCGGGCTCCGTGGAGCCTGCATCTAATGGCGGAAGTCGAAGCCTGGCTCGGGAAAAAATATGGGTGGTTGTCAAAATTATGGTCCCTTTTTGGGTCCTTATTATAATACGGCACCTATTGTTTAGGGTACCCCAAAAGGGACCATAATTTTGACAACTACCCATATAGCTGCATGAGTCGTTTTGCCTTCCTCGTTCCCACTGCATGAACGCCTGGCAAAGTCACAATGTCGCGGCCATGTCGGTACATCGACATAGCTGACAGGATGCCAAACTCCCTTGGGAAGCTTGGCTCGGATTCTCTCCTAACTGTTCATGATACGGGCGTCTTCGCGCAGAGAACCCAAAAACTGTGAGAACTGCCAAGTCAGTAAAGTCTTCTTCTCTCAGAGGGAGTTGCCCTGCGGTAACATCGCAAACATCACACAACACGGTCAGACCGCACTTGATGTGTTTGTGTTTGCACGTTGCATGTCATTGTTTATTCTGGATGCGTGTGTGTGTGTGTCGATAAATGGTATATGTATACATGAATATGTCCATGTTATTATAAACACTGTGTGTATACATAATTGACATACGTATTTATGTACATACCTACATAAACATAAACATATGCATATACATATAAAATGTTGTACATGGACCATGAACATATACATATACGTAAACAGATACATATATGTACATACACATATATCCGCGTATGTGCGTGCCGTGTTTGTATGTGTGTGTGGGTATTACAACAAGCTCATACTGAGAGCAGAACAAACAACTTAGAAAATTTAGTGCAGATTAGTGCAGGCTAGAGAGGTGGTACAGACGATGGCGTACCTCGAAGCTCTATATTCTATCATCTGTCTGCCTGTACATAGATATACTAACACACTCTCACACCCACAGATGCGCATATAAAGCAATGAAACCGGTGGCAAATATTAAAAGTCCCTCGAACACGAGCTAGATGAGGTGCACGACAGCAACCTTTATGCGCACGCGTATCTCCGTGTAGTGTTGCCAACGTGGATCCACGGACGGTGAAAGTGCCCCAGGACGACCGGGACGCCCATGACCACTACGGACGACCACGACAACCGAGAGACCCCGAGGAGACCACTCGGAGACCACTCAAAGACCCATAGGAAAACACCAAGACTATGAGACCACCAGAATCCACCGTGCATACACAGCACGAGATGCACAGAAAGCTGTTTGAAACGGTCGCTTTGCAGATTGGGCCAATGCTCGGTGCTATATTGAGGCATGGGCACCTGTTCTACGTGATCCACTGCATGCTATACATTGTATACATATACTCTGGGTATAGCTAGTGCATATACGTATATATATATACATATACATACATACACATACACATACACATACACATACACATACACATACACATACACATACACATACACCTACACGTACACATACACATACACATACGTATACGTACATACATACATACATACATACATACATACATACATACATACATACATATAGATTCATATATACATATACATATACATATACATATACGTATATATGGTGCAGCGTCGCCCAACCCCCCCCCTCCCCCCCCCACCCCATGGTATCCCCGCCCTCCCCCTGTGGTTCCCTGTGGTGTGGGTTCCCCCCTTGTCCCTCCCTCGAAGATGATCATGGTCCCGTCCGCAAGCTCCTCCGGTCCCTTGATCAAGACTCCTGAATGAAAGTTATTCAAGCAAATGCTCGGGCTGACTTTTTGAGCATAGAATGACAACGGTGGGTGCGAACAACGGAAATCTACGAAAGAACATCAAGCCAAACAAACAAGCAAAGAACATGCGTTGCCTAAGGGCAGAACAGCATAAAAGCAGTGCTGCTACCAACAGTCACACTCGGAATACCAGCATGCACGAAGCACAGCATCGTCATTGTCCTCAGCATCATCGCATCATTCTCATCTGTGTGGGAAGCGGGGGGCGGGGCTTGCGAGAAAGTTCCAACAGAACGTCGACAGTTACGGGGATGATGACGTGGACGAGCACCATCCCTGTGACAGTTTGCTCGGCTGCGAGACCTGGTTTGGCTGCTGTGGAAGGGGGGGGGATACCATGGGCGGGCGGGGTGGGCGGGGGGGCCACTGACGCGCTGACGCGGGACCATATATGGTAACCCCCCTGGACCAACCTCCGCCATGAAACTGATCATGTCTGTACTTGTGTTGCTGCGATCTGATATCGAAAACCCAGTAAAAACCGATAAATACTGTGTTGGCTCTTATGGTCTTAAGCTTATATGAATCGCTGGGGCTAGCATATATATATATATATATATAAGAGCGCACGTGCGCAGCTGCACTTTGGCTGAAAGGGTCAGGGACTAAGTAAGTAGGCGAGATGTATAGGGTTCCGATGGGGATAATTCTAGTTCACTAGGGGATACACGTACGTATCTTATGACTTTCCTTAAACTACCAGTGCCAGAACCGACGTTTTGCCGTTTCCCTAATTTGAAAGTTAGGGGGACCCTACCAACAAAAAAGTGCTGATGAAGTCCACTGCGCCGCCCAGTAGATAGCAGCTACGGCTCAGGCTGGGGGCGACCTATCCATACCCTGTGGTGGCAGACGTGGATGTGCTCCGACTACTCACTACCGGTGTTCCGGGCTTCGAGTGCCAGTAAGCTCCAAACCCTAAACCCTAAACCCAAAACCTGAGGCAGAGTAGGACTCTGAGGATTCAGGGCTTCAGAGAGCGGACGTAGCAAGAAGGGGCCGACATATGCCGTTGTGTCTCCTAAACCCCCCAAATACCTACTCTATAGGGTACTAGAGCCCCTAAGGCCCTATATAGTAGATACCTGGAGGGTTAGGGTCTGTCATTACAACCTGGCTCGCAAGGCAGTTTAGACAGCAGCCTGATCCTGGAATCCTGCCGTCGTCTCCGATCGTGTTTAGGGCTTTGGGGTTGCGGTGCTTGGGATTCGGGGCTTAGGGTTCGGTGTACAGTTTGGGGTTTAAGGTTTTTAGGGTTTAGGGTTTAGGCGTAGCACTTCGAGGTGGGAAAGCATGCTTCCTCAAGAGCTATGCTTGACACTTTTGGGTTTCGGGTTCAGGGTTGCTGTTTCAATCGCGGGTGCTTGTCTCGAGATTCAACACATTTCTCCGGACAAGACGCCGGCAGGGTGGCGGAACGTCACGGCGACCTCCACAGAACAGACCAACGCCCGAAATGTTGATCCCAGCGACAGATGACTGGAACTTTGCTGCTTCACATCAAACTCAGGGCTTCGTCCATTGTTCCACGACTACTGAGCAGATACAGCAGGCCTTCAGCACTTCTTACTTTGTTTTTGAGCACCTAAGCCAGGACTGTTGGAAATCTGTAAAGTCTTAGTTGTTGTGAACCGGAGGCGGAACGATCGGCTTTCTTGGAGCATGCGAAGCGTTGCCGCAGCCGGGCAGACCTAGCATGCATCGTGGCAGCAGAGCAGTTGGGGGTAAGGGATCAAGGAATAAAGGTTTATGGTACCTGGACACCCAAAGTGTGTAACATACTTTTTTCTGAGTCCACGGTGAATGGTATTCGGCCCACTATGGTGGGTATTGGGATTGTAACATTTGTTTCCGCTTCAACTGACGAGGTTCCAGCTGAGAGGTCGGACCGTTAGGCAACCAAGTTTCTTTTACTGTATGTGATTTTTCGGTTCTTCCCTCTAGAATTAGAGTAGTTTGCAAGGCTTCACTACCCAGGTATATGCACGACCCAAGCCCTGTATAAAATGTATCATCCCCCCAAACTCAAAACTCCAAACCCTGAAGCCCAAAACCCTAAGTAGTAGAGGCCCCAAGCCGAAGCCCTGTAAACCCTGCTGTACACTCCAAACAATAGAAACCCTAAAGCCCCAAACCCTAAACCCCTCAACCCCAAACACGAAGAGCCAGGTTTCAGCCCGGACGGTTGCGACCTGCTCGCGCCGCCTTCTGAGCCTTCGCCACTGGGTCAGAACCCGCCAGGAGCCATGGGGTTTTGTTGTTTCGGGTTGAGGGTTCAGGGGTTTAGGGTGTATATAGGGTTCAGGTTCAGGGTTTAGGGCTTACAGGTGTTTTGTGGACGAGAGCTGTCCGCGGGCAGCTAAACCGTGTTACCCTCTCGCTGGGGCCTCACCGTGCCGGTGTAGCGCAGCCAGTCGGGAGATGGTGCTGATAGTTTCGGGTCAAGAGACAGGGTTTAGGGGGGTGTCCCGATGTGTACTAATTGTCATCTTTGGTGTGTTTATATTGCTGAGGGTTTGGGGTGTTTCTCCCCCCTCCCCTCCTCATAAAAAGATTTGCCGGTTTCGGAGTTCTTGTTCCCAGCTCCTTGTATAAATCCTTAAAACGGTGTGGGCTCTGGGGGTTTTAGGGTTAAGGGACTGCCTGCTGGAGGTTTGGGGTTTTGTATGATTTGTGCGGCGCGGCGTAGGATTTTGCATGTGTCTTAAGGTTTGGGGCTTATAGGGCTTATAAGGTTAATTTGTTTTCGCTGCCTTGAGCTCACACTAGTGATGAATATCTTTGACTATGACACCCGACGAAAGTTAGAGTATTGGTTTAGGGTGTGTTTTGTTGAGATTGTGTTAACATGTTGGCTTAAAGCGTTTACAGTTTGGGGTGACTTTGGCCCAGCCAGACAGACAGGGATTGCCCGCATGTCAGTTGGGTTTTTTGTGCAGACGTTGTAGGCTAACAGCTTAAACGATATGCGCAGTCGGGCTAGAAGCTCTGTGGTGACAGATTGTTGCCCTTCCTTGGCACTCTGATTCGCGAGTCGATCGCCCCTGAACTCCTCCGTGAAAGAGAGTGGGAAATCCCAAATCAAAAGCCCGAAGCCAGCCCCCTTAAGCCCTCAACTTGAGAAATCCTTCACCGAGTCTTGCTGTGATGTGAAGCTGTGTTCTTTGATTCATTGCCGTTGGCCCTTTGCGAACTCCCTGAACTGTAAAGGTGCCTCGACCCTAAATCCCTTAGTCCCCTGAGCCCTGAACTTTCCCCTAAACCCTAAACCCCTAAACCCTAAACCCTAAACCCACCCTAAGCCCTAAATCCAAAGCAACAACAACAAAAACAGCAAGAAAGCCGGACTCCGAATCCTGGTCCGAACTCTCCAAAAACCCCTGCATGCCCTGCGCCCGAGAATCCCCAAAGCCCCTGCACTTTGGAGCCCACGTGCCCCGAAGCCCTGGATCCGGGACCCCAAATCTCGAAAGCCTTACTACGTCCTATGCCCCAGCTAGGTTCTACTTCTGGCCTTCCTGCTCCTCCCTGAAACCCAAACCTGTGTCGACTTGTTTAAAGCCCCAGAACCCTAAACCCTGCGCCCTAAACCCTGCGCCCTAAACCCTACACCCCCTAAACCCTACACCCTGAACCCTAAACTTTAAACCCTAAACCCTACACCCTGAACCCTATAAACCCGAAACCCTCAACCCTACACATCCCTACACCCTGAACCCAAGACCCTAAACCCTAATCCCCTAAACCCTGAACCCTAAACCCTGGACCCTAAACCCTAATCAACCTGAGAGGAATCTGGGCCCTCACTGAACGTCGTTTTCGGGGCGGAGTTTCGACCCCGGCCTCTGCCGAGGTCTCGCGAAGAGGTCGAGGCCGGGCTCATTTTAACCGGGCTGATTTGAATTGTGCGATCTGTGGCTGATTTGGGGGTTTATTAAAGTGCAGTACTGTTCTTTTAAGCCATGATGGTCTTAATGCACGACCCTTTTCTGTCATTTTAACTTATAGTTGTTGTTTTCTTGAAGGGAGGATCGGTGTCAGGATAAGGGACCCAGAACTTGGAGATACCGGGTACGTGTCAACACCGTCGCCAAAGTTAGCATCATGATCTGCATCAGCATGCGCCGTTGTCTGCATCAACTCAATCGCAAAATCATTTTCAACATTAGCATCTAGATCGGTAACATCAACATCATCATCTTGTGTAGCATCAGTTGGTTGTAGTGTGGCCTCAAGGCCTTGCGCCAAGAGTTCAACTACACCAGCCTTTCACTGCTGGTAGGTCTGCAGCACGCATAGACCGAAACCCTAGAGAGCCCCGTTTAGAACACCCTACAGCCGCTGAATTCGAGATGTTGAACCTGCTTCATGCTTTTTGTAGTCCTTCATGGCAGCCCTGCAGGTGCCTCCGAGAAGGGGCGCGGCAAAGGACAGCGGCGGTGGAACGATGCTTGGGAGCGCGGCTGGGGTGTGCCTCTGATGATGTGAAGCCTAACCCCCCCAGGTACCTTCTATATAGGGTACTAGAGCCCCTAAGGCCCCATCTAGTAGGCACCTGGAGGGTTAGGGTTGGTTCGGTTGATTGGACGAGGCTTTCAGGCTTCGCGGTCCAGGGCTCGACAGGTCGATCAACTACGACCCTCACTGGATTGAACCCCGGGCGTTTCTTGATCGCCAGTCAAAGCACAATTCCAGTCCGCAAGGTCATCCAGGTAGGCTCAAGTTCGTTTTCATCGAAGTGATGAAGCCGACAACACCAAATCGCTGACCCCGAACGGTTTCAGGTCGGCTGGGACAACAGCTGGGAGGAAGGCACGATTAAGGTCAAGTACGACTACATATTCCAGACCCCACACTATCGGAACCTGTGTCCTTGGTCTAGTGACCCTCGTGCGTCGGAATGAGTGCCTGGCGCATCCGACGCATTGCGAGTAATACAGGGGCCTTCATAATTACCCAAATGATGTTGGGGGTTCCTTATTGCAGTTATAGTCTGATATACCCCAAAACCCTATTCTAATCTATAAGGTGTCTATAGTATTGATGTCAGTATGGGTTCGAGCCGACGTCCTCTTCGAACGCATGTGCTGCACATCACGGACATGTCATTACGACTTTTTGGGGTGGCACGTACTGTAGTTCGCGGATACACAGTGCACTCGCACTCTGCGATGCTTTAATGACGCGAGGTTTCGATTCCCAATGTAGGGTTCAGTTAGGCTCGTCTGTAGGTGGGTCGACAAAGAAAACCTTACACGACCCTTGAGCGGTCTAATTAAGCTCCTATGAAAGAAGCAGTGAAACGAGCACTCCAACCCTACAGCTCCCTTGTAAGGCGCTGTAGATCCTTTAGCCCGAACCTCCATTTTCCTTTTTAATCCTAAGCCCTACAGTCAGAAAGCCCTACGCCCCAAATCTCGCAACAATGCAGGAGGCAAGACACACCGAACCCTTATGAAATCCGCAAGCCCTAGACTCTACAAGCGCCAAAGGCCTCAAACATAAGCGCAGGCTACAAAACCAGTGGGCAGAGCCCGTCGTGGTCAGCGGGTGCCGAGGCCATGCGGACAAAGCATAGGACTTGGAGCTTGTGATAGCATCTTCGGAGTTTAGGGCTGTTAGTTTTAGGATTTTAAGTTTTAGGGCCTTTTGATGGTTTAGGGCCTTTGGTGGTGGTTTATAGAGTTGTGCAGTTGGTTCCGGAGATTGAAAAATGGCAATTGCTTTTGCAGGTTCTGGGCTTTTTAGTGCTTCAGGGACCCGGGTCTGGGATTTGGGGTTGCGGTGGGCTTGGGGCATTCGGGGGTCTTTGCGTTTTTTGGATGGAAAATTTAGGTCTTCGGATGACACCCAAATAATAACCTACGCCCCGAAGGGTAAACCCTATGAGCCCTTTTTTCCAACACCCTGCCACAGAGCGAGGCAGGGCAGGCTCCCAGCCGTCGCTGGAACCGGGCGCGCGAGGGCAGATGAGAGGCTCCGTGGTGGCCTGGAAGGCCAGAAAGTCTAAAGTTATTTGCGGTTTTAGGGTTCAGGGTTTAGGTCTTAAGTTATTTTGGTTTTTAGGGTTTAGGGTTTAGGTCTTAAGTTATTTTGGGTTTTGGGCCGTACCCAGAGGGCCTAGAGCCGGTCTTGTTCAAGGAGTTCACCCAGAGGGTCCAAGTACCCAAATAGTAGGGTTTCAGGTCCCAAATTCCATACTCTGCATGGTTTTTGGCACTTGAAAACCCTACTATTTGAGTACTTGGACCCTTAGGGTCATACAATACATAGAGGTCGGGTCTATAAGGGTTCGAGACGGGCGTGCTGCGGTTGTATCACACATGTCTAGGAGTTTTGTGGGCGTGGGTTGGGTCTCTACAGTTTAAGGTGCGAAGGTTTGAATTGAAGGCGCAGGGTTCCGTACATGGAGGCCCCTCCTTCTGTCAAGTCTCGTCTCGACTTGTGCAGCATGTTACAGGATCCCAGGTGGTTTAGTCAGAGTTCAAGGGTTTGCTACTGCCCAGATGACCCCAGCTATGCTTGGGGTCCTTGGGGTATGATGACGGTGGACACAGCAACTCCACTTCCTCTTTCCCTTTACAGGCTTGTCGATTGCTTTGTCTATTGGGAAACTGGCTTGACGGCTTTTAAAGGTCATTCGATGTTAAAGCTGGTACGGCCCTATCTGTAGCCCCAAATCCTACAACATAGCAAGGCTAGACCCCATACTCTACGACCGTGAGCCCCGTCCTTTGCACGTGTTTTTCCCAAAGGACCGTAATGGCTAGGCTCAAAGCTTTAAGCAGGACCTTGAAGCCACGAACTCAGAGAGTCCCAAGATGCCCCCATTGAGGAGTGTAATCTTCAGTTTTATTCACTATGTACGAGGCAACTGGATCTTTATGTTTGTCTGCATGAATATATATATATATATATATATTTATTTATTTTTCTATGTGTGTATATATATATACACATACAGGAAGAGGGAGGTCTTCTCATGATTCAAAGGGGATGCTTTGGGTATGGGGCTCTCCTGGCACAGCAGGCTCACAAGGCGGCTCCTGAAGGAATTTGCCATCTTCGACACATTTTCCAGTGCTTGAGAAGCCCTAACCCCCCAGGTACCTACTATATAGGGCCCCAGGGGCTCTAGTACCCTATATGTCAGGTACTTGGGGGGTTAGGGAAGCAGAAGCGTTAAGTCTACCGTACAAAGATGCTGGTGAGCACAGGCCTTAAAGCCTCAGGCCGTAAGCTTAGATGGAGGAGTTCGGGGCAGTTTCTTCCTTTCGGGTCTCGCATGGACTTCGCACGCTGACTTTAGTCCCCTAAACCCTAAACCCTAAACCCTAAGCCCCAAACCCTAAACCCTAAACCCTAAGCCCATAGTCCGCCCTTTTGCTCGTTTCACTAAACCCTAAACCCTAAACCCTAAACCCAACTTTAAGCCC